TCCTTCCAGGTCAATACTGACCCGTTCACTACCACTCTCTGGGTGCGACCCCCAAGCCAATTTGCCACCCACCGGACTGTGTAATCATCTAAGTCACAGCCTCTTAATTTATTAATGGAAATAGGTTGAGATACCATATCGAAGGCCTTCCTAAAATCCAAGTAAATGACATCCACCTCTACTCCTGCGTCTAAACATTTTCCTCCCCTCCCATCCCTATTCAGCCAAGCTGGGTGGGAGCCGTGCTCCTGAGCTGTGTGAACAGGCCCTGCTAACGTGGGAGTGGGTTAGAGGTGAGTGGCAGCTGAGGGGGCACTGACCCCTGGGGAGAGGGGGACTGCTTACTGGGGGATCCCTGGTTATCCCTGGTGAGGGGAGGCTCCGGGCTGGGCTGGGCAGGGTTTCCTCAGGGGAGGGGGCTACTGGCTGACTCTTCTGTGCATGCGCAGAGCAGCCTGAGCCTTCATTGATTGGTGCAGGAAATTCAAACCGCACCAATTGGGACCTGGACGCCAAAGCGAGCACATGTGTGCACCAGTGCACATGTGCCCTCGGCTCCCTGCTGACCCCACTGAGCAGAGCACCGATGAGTCAGCAGCAGCAATAAGGTAAGTTGGGCAAGCGGGGGGAAGGGCGAGGAGGAGCTGGGCCAGCTGTAGCGAATTGGAAAGGGGTTTTTCTCCCCTTCCATCACTACTTAGCCAAGCCAGGTGGGATCCACACTCCTGAGCTACGCAAACAGGCCCCACAAACAGGCACGCTCTTCAGGGGTGCGCCGGAGTTTATACGGGAGTGGGTTAGGGTAAGGGGCAGCTGAGGGGGCACTGACCCCTGGGAAGAGGTGGGCTGCTTACCGGGAGATCCCTGGTTATCCCTGGTGAAGGGAGGCTCTGGGCCGAGCTGGGCATAGAGGGAGACTATCCCATTGTGAGGGAAAGTGGGAAAAGGGCCCAAAAAACCTCTATGCCTAAACAGAGAAATCCAGAGAAGCCTAAGTGCAAAAAAAGAGGCACACGTGCACTGATGAAGTTACAGCTCCTCTTGAGTTGATGCTCCCTGCATGCACAAAGCTCAGTCCCCAACCAACATTAGTGGAATATAACTTTCTAATGCAGGGGTGTCAAAAAAATCACCTGTGGAGCCCCATCATCTGGCCCCTGATGCTGCCCCTGGGTCTCAGACTGACCTATAAACCACATGCTGTGTGCACCAAAGCAGCCCTGTGTGCAAGGCCTAGGATGCAAGCCGCATGTTGTGCCCACCCCTACCAGTCCTGGGCACTCACACACTCTGAGACCCATACTGCACATGGCACGCACATGGGACCAGTCCATGATCAGTCCCCTTCCCCACAAGCCAGATGACCCAGCACCCAGGCCAAATGAATGGTGTGGGGCTGGCCCTTGAGCCAGACCAGGCTCACAGACCCACCATCTTCATACCAGATGCAGCAGCCATGGTGACACTCTGGTAAGTTCAGGACTGTACTGCACTGCACGCAGTGCTCACTCCAGAATGTGAGTTGCATATGGTGCTCACTCTGAACAGTATGGGCTGGGAACTGCATGCAGCACGGGTCCCAGACTGGCCAGAGTGGGTGCCACATGTGACACACATCCCTGAGCAACCGCTGAATCTGACATGCAGGGAGTGGTGTCCACAGGCCCAATCCAGCCTGCAGGGATGCCATTCATTCAGCCCATAGACCAGTCCTGTGCTGCTCATTTGGCCTATGGGGCCAAATAAATTTGACACCCCAGTTCTAATGCAATATGTCATTACTCAGAGATTTTTAGAGGTGCACTGATATATTGGTCCATATCAGATCGGCACCGATAAAAGGCAAATTGACATTATTAGCAATCAGCTCTTTTTGGTTGGTGTAGCTGATAATGTCACTGATAAATGCCCTGTGCATGTGTGCAGCCACAGCATGGGTGCAGCCAGGAATGCAACCTGGCATCATGGAGAGTAGCATCTGGCCATAAGTCTGCAGGGGCAGAGGGTGAGGGTGTGGGGGAGGGAACAGGCATGTGGGGCAGATCAGGGCCCCCATGTGACAGAGCTGGTGACAGAGCAGGGGCAGGTGCTGGCTGGGCACGGTGTGGGATGGAGCTGTGGGTGGCTTGTCTGGGGGGTGCAGGGGAATGGGGGGGGCACTCTCCAATGCTGCATGCACCCCTGGGGGAGGCATGAGGGGCATGTGCCCCCCAGATTTGTGCGTGGGGTGAGGGCAGGCTCAGAGCCAGGGGCTGAGCTGGTCTCTTCTCAGAGGGGAGGCTGGGCTGGGGCTATGCTCAGGGAGGCTGGGGATGGGACAGGGTGGGTGACAGTGCTGGGAGGGGTGGCTACGGCTGCCCCAAAATTCACTGTAGCTCCCTGTACCTCTGCCCTCCTAATGCTGCCACCCCACCCTAAGCACAACCCTAGCCCAGCCTCCCAGCAGGGAAGAGGCTGGTGCAGCCCCTGACCCTGCCCTCGCCCCACACCCAAATCCAGGGGGCATATATGCCCCCATGCATTCCCCGGGGGCGCATGCAGTGTTGGGGAGTGCTCCCCCCTTTCCCACTCCCCTGCACTCCCCAGACAAGCCACCTATGGCTCTGTTCCACACCCTGCCTCCTGCCCCACCCCGGCTAGGCAGTGCCTACCCCTGCTCCAGCACCAGCCCCACTCCCTCCCTCACCGTGGGGGACTCGATCTGCCCCCCACATTCCCCTTCCTTTCCCCATGCTCCTTCCCCCCAACAGACTTACCAGCCAGACGCTGTTCTCCAAGCTGCTGGGATGCATATCGGATTGGGGTCGGCCAACATGGCTGGTTAATCGGTATTGGCCAAAAAAATCTTTATCAGTGCACCCCTAGAGATATCATTTGCTGAATAAACCATATGAAACTCCTGTGTGTCCTCCAGGCACACATAGGAATCCTACAAATACCTGGTGGTGCTAAGATTAGCGGTCCAAATTTGGATCTACATTTTGTTTTTAACTTACACTGCCTCTTTTATGCATCCCATGTAATTCTTTAGATATGATTTTTCTCCCTAGGTGTTCCCTCCAATGCTCTGCTATTGTTTCTAAAATCAGTGCTACCAGAGCAACCCTACCTGAATCAATATTGTGTGGGAAAAGGTTAGGGCAGTGTGGCACCTTAGGAACTAACTGGCTCCACACCAACTTAACAGTGGGCAATTATTGTTAGTCTTGGATTCAGGTCTCAAAGTTCAGAGCCAGAATAACAGAGGCAGAATTTAGATTTGGGGTTTCTATTCAGTCCACCGCACAATCAGTGTCTGGATCCATATTTGTCCTTCCCCAAATTTGGGAGTATTATGTTCTGTAGTTCTATAGTTTCCTTACTTAAATATTATGGGGTAATTCAGTCACACAAACCCTGAGTAACTAAGCAAAGGTAGAATTAAAGCAACAGGGATTTGGGGCCACACAAGCACAGACTCCCCCGGTTTCTTTTCTAATTTGCACCACCCCACTAGCTCCGCCCTCCCTCCAGGGTGCTATGCACAGATCACTGACTGAGACATGCACATGTTGAAATTTTTTTGAGCTGCAGCTCTCAGCCAGCCATAGGAAGGTTTGCACTTAGCTGGGTTAGGAAATTTGGACATCTCTTGTCTAGCTAATGTGCTAGATCAGGGGTTGGCAAACTACAGCCCATGGGCCAGATCCAACCCACAGAGTTACTGGATCTAGCTTGAAGACTCAGGGGGCTAAATGAGTGGGGAGCTTTGCCCATGCTGTGGCTAGGTAGTGGGGAGAAGCTGCAATGGCAGTAACTGCTGCATCCTACCTAGCTCCAGTCTACCTCAGACCTGAACTGGGTCATTCCAACCTACAGCCAGAAAACTTACACACCACTGTGCTAGATGGTCAATCTATCTATAGTATTAACATGTAAAAATGGAAGCTCTCTGGCCTTCAGTAACACTCCTTTAAATATTCAATTTGTAG